AAGTGTGTGTATATTTACACACACTTTCATGCAACGTTGATTTTGATACATCCCAACGTGGGCGTAGAACCTGGCGCACACAACTTTTTTATGCGTACGCACCGTTTATACATGAAGGCCCAGGAGTATGACTCCCAGCTACAATCACAACAAGTTTATGCTCAGAACCTGTAAAAATAATGTGTCTTTTTGTGTATTTTAAGATCAGTTGGCTGTGGCGGCCATCTTTAATTGGGTTAGTCAGTTAGAGATGTACAGCCGATCTTTAGTTTGAGATTTCTAAGATATTTTGCAACAAACATGTAGTCACGCACACATAAATATAATCTTTCATCTTCACCTTTTGGCGACAGAATAAACACCTGCATCATTTTATGGGAACAGTCAAACCTAGAGGGCCTCATTGATCCCTGTGTCTTTACATGCAGCTTCTGCTTTGGTTTGCACCCCCCTTTCTTCCAGATGAGGCAAAACTGCACGGGAGGAAATTTGTCAAAACTTCACAACTGGTTTGAGACGACACACACACACACATACACGCACACACCCAGAAAAAAACACGAGTCCATCTGCCAGGCCATCTGAAGACATGCAGCTCTTCTGCTCCAACAGGCTCAGTGGCAGCCTGAGAGCTCCCAGCAGCGTGCCAGGCAGCGTGCAGAGACAGTAGCTCCCAGGCAACAGCTGAGCTCCCATGGGTATCACGGGAGAGAAAACTGAGTGGGACGTGTGGGAGTGTGGAGGGAATGAAGTATTATGTGTCCCGCTCATGCACTCTTTGGCTGGCCCGTCCAATATGCTCAGCCAGATTGACTGTGCCCAGCATGAAGTAGCCTGGAGGGATTTTAACCCATGATCCAATAAGTTTTGTGTCTGTCAGCAAGACTCAAACAAAGAGAAAAACTCCCGCTAAAGTCAAAAGTTCATTTATTCTGGATGAAACTGAAGCATGTAATTCTACATGAAAGTATATTATATACTGTGTGATAAGATTCTTTACACTGAAACCTTCAATGAGTCTACCCACTACTCAAGAAGCTGCTTTAAGCTGATAAAAACCTTGTTTTCATAATGTTGCTGGCTGTGAGAACAGGTTTTTAACTTAGACAAAACTTTGTAACATCCTCCATTAAATATTATTACTGTAAATATTATGAGCACTACAGTACGAGTAAAAGTCCTGACCACTTTCCTGTCGCTCCTTAAGTTAAACATTTTACTAAGATAACCTAAACTAAAACGTTTTACTAAGAGAACCTAAACTATAAAGTGTACAGATTAACCAATAAATAACAGGTGTGATGACGCAAAACTGTTCCTGCCTTATTGACTTCTCAAAGTACTTCACAGTCACATTCACTCAGTCCAGCCCCATCTGGTTTATAAAGAAACAAGCATCTTTCGGTTCATTTCTAGAAAACAAAGGGCAAAGAAAAGTGGGGGTTGGAGCTATTTTAACACCATGTAAACAAATTAAAAAGTGTAAGCACATAGAGCTGGCTGATGGTGGGACACCTCTGCCTTGGAAACACTTCCCTGGTGAGGAAATTACCTGTAATGGCAGCTGATTGGCTCCTGTTGACTCTTGATTAGAAGTAACAGACTAGCAGTACAATGGCAGTTTAAACTGTTTAAAACATCCCTAATAATGAGTACAACACAGCATTAAACATGTCAGAAAACAAAGAACACTTTCTAATGTTTTACTCAGACCCAATACTTTTTTACTCTATGAAGGTGCAATTAAATTATAAAATGTTTTCTGTCACATCTATTTATTTCAATTATTTCTGTCTGTCTGTTCATTCTTCGACCCATACATTTACATTTATTTCCTACATTTACTTATTTTATGTACATGACAAGTTGTACAAATTGTCTGTAGCGTACAAAAATTTACCACCTTTTTGCAGGTATACGGACATACAGGGAAATCTCATGAATTTTTCAAATTTATTTTACACCTCATTGCCAGTCGGACGTAAAAAAAAAAATAATTAAAAAAGTTAAATAACCATTTCACAACCTGTTCTGCCACTAGAAATATGTAGAAATATGGTTGAGTCACCTCTAGGCATGACTTGCGTTCAAACAAAACTCCTAAAGACTGACAATAAAAAGTGTAACCTCGACCGGGAACATCTTTGGACCTAATGTGACATTAAGAAATAGACCAGTCTGAATACTGGATGAGAAAACAGCAAAGACTTGGTCAAATCTGCAAAAAGAGACACAATTCCTTCAGAAATCAAAATTCTCAAACTCTTCTGGAAAGCTTCAAAGATCAAATGAACTGACCTCAAGTATATACAGTATTTCTGTGACTGTAGTATTCACTATTACTGATCGATGCAACAATTAATCATTTTAAAAGACAAAATAAAGTGTTCATACGATCATACAGTCCCTAAGAACCAAATCATGTTTCTCTGATTAAACCAGTGCTGGACCTCAGGGGTGTGCAGAGTCCTCATAGAACCATGACCCTTTTTATTGTTTTAGACAGAACTATTATTTAGATATTGTTGCAAAATGGGTTTATTTAAAAATATTATCAAACCACACATTGCTGATGATCCACTGCTTGAAATGTTGCAAGCTTTGTTTTCACACGCCGTGCACCCTCCTGTCAGAGTGAACCCAGCGATATAAAACAAATCTCCAAACCAAAGAAAACAGCTGGAGATCCCTGCTGCCGGTATCATAATGAAAGCAAAGAGTTTTGAAACAGGCCTGTCTGCTGACAGAATGAAGCTGAAAAGGGATTAACATTAGTTTGCATCAGGAAATCACTAAAATTCAGCAGCAGTAATGATAAATCAAAGATCCATTAATGCTGTGATGAATGATCAGACTGAACTGTGCTCTTGTCCTTTAGATAATAAACCACAGTAAACAGTTGCCCCTGAAATTCTTTAAAAGCCTTTCAACATTTTTTTTAATGTACCCAAATTAAATTAAGTACTTTTCATGAACCCTTTGGAGTATATTCAAAAACTTTCTCATTAGAAATAAAATAATTTGAATAATTATTGTAATTCTCAGTACTGTTCAGTTATTGAACTTAGAACACACTAAAATAAAAATATTTTTATCTCATTTAAAATATTTTAGTAACTTTCATATGTTGCTGCACAATGGAAAAAAGGGGGGTATTCAGCCAAAGTTTATAAGAGCCTGAAGTATAAATTCTCAAATATTAACACTTTAAATTTGATAACAATAGCATTAAAATTAATATGTTAGACAGAATACAGTATAAGACAGCATGTCCATTCAAATGTAGACACGTGTCTATTATGTCCATGACAGTGTACAACAACTGTACAAATCGAGTAAAGACAATAATTTCAACACAGAAACTTGACTGAGAGCTCAAATCTACGCTAAAAACCATATGAATCATACTCTATCATCCGTTTTTACTCCGGCTATGATTAAAGTACATAAAATTATCAAAAGTCGGCATCATAAATCACAGCTGGGTGTGGACTACACCATAATAACAGTGTGTGAATGTATGTGTGATTGTTTGAATGTCTGAGGTGTAAAGCACTTTGTAGTCCATGTGGACTTGGTAAGGCGCTGTACTGTAAAAGTTCAAGCCATTTACCATTTACCATACACAGCCACAACACAGCATAAACAGCATGAATCCAATCTTTTGTTAAAGCATTAACAACCACACAGCTTAAAAACTACTAGCAGCAAGATAAAAAGTTTATCATTTACTTTTTGAAGAAAAATTTGTCCAAAAGTTTCTCATTCTGTAACACATTTCCTTGTCACAAAAATCACTCATTTTTTCCCCCCTGATCTCTCAAAGGTCCATGTAAAACACGTTTCCTCTTCTCAAAAGGTTTTGATTAAAACAAACAAACATAAAAACATGTTTCACTTGTTTTCTTTTTTTCACCACTATATTAAACTGCCCAATCCTTAAACTTTTTATATCTACCTCTCGGAATTTGATTGGCTACACGTTTGGGGTGACAGAAAAAAAAAGATTTGTTGACACTGCAGCCAATCAAAGGCACTGCCCCACTGGTGGGACAGTTGGATAGCTACAAGTGGCTTTATCGAAGCCATAGACCAGCACAACTGGTCAAAAAGGATGTCAAGCTAAAGGTAAAACCAGGGTAAGTCGTCTGACACCATAGTTTTCAAAATGAAAGCCCCCAGTAGAGCCCAGAAACATTTAAAGGCAGAAACCACACCCCTTATTTGTTCTTGTGCTATTAATCTCTTATGGATGAATATTTATGTCTTCGTGTGCAGATTAATATTATGGTTCTAAAGCTTATAAAAGACTATGTATTTGAAAAATAGTGGATTAAACTGATGGATGCTATTTAATGCCTTTTGTTATTGTTTTTGTGAATTTTCTTGAACCATTTGGTGATTAATTTATTTTTTTTTACATTTAATATGGCCCTGGCTCAAACCTGTTGCTTTAGAAGTACCAGACTGCAGCTGTGACCACAGATCTGGCGCAGCCCCCATTTCATCTGTTTATTGATCGAAAATTCACAGGTAAATGAGTTTTGTTTGTCCTTTAAAGCCACGTAGTATCATTGCCCTTGTAAACAACAAACAGTTGCTGCTTCCTGTTTAGAAGTCGGCGATCAGACAGATGGGCTTTTATTCTCATTTTCTAGTCACTTTGGAGGAGAATGTGCTGATTTTGATGTGCAGCTGCTGAACAGCGGGTGATGCAGAATCATTTTGTTCTTCTTCATGTTTTATTTGCAACATTAAATACAAATGTCTCCGTGTGTGTCTGTCTGAGCGGGGTGCTTTGTTCTGCAGATTAATGGGAATAACACAGTTTTATAAATCAACTCATGTTCCTGGTGTCACCCTTTTGTCTTTGCAGCTTTCTCCCAACCGAACACGTACAGGTCATTGTATCTCACAAACAGAAGGTAGACCGATTCAGGTTCAGCTGCAGGTTACGGTTGTAAAATACTGACTCGTCAGCCCCAGGTCCAAGCACTCACCTGGCTTGCCTGTGGACAGGATGTTCTTGGGGATGCTGACTCTGTCCTCAGAGATGCGGGCCCAGTCCACCATGCCTCTCCAACCCTTCATGGGGAAGTTGATGTCTGCGTGACCCATCACTGGGCGCTTGTGGATGCTCAAAACTGTAACACAAAAATAAGAAGTGAATAATACCAACCTGATGAGCAACCATTAGGTTTATCTTCACACAACACTCCCTCTCCCATCCTCTGACTCAATAATATTTATTTTGGATTTTGCTGCAGCTGTCTTTTTTCCAACCAGTTTCTGCCTCTGCTGATGAAGACCGGTCCCTGCAGCATGATGCTGCCCCCACCATGCCTCGCATGGAGAGGGTGCTTTTAGCATCCTTGAGGGTGTATAGTCTTTAACTGAAGGTGCACACTCAATATTTCAGGTTAATAGTTCAAAAATTGATTCAAAACACGTTTTGTACTCATTTCAGTGTTGCAGGCAGACGGTCAGCAGCAGACAGAACAGTGCCTGCAGCACAAAGCAGGACAGGGACAAGCGGATAACTTACTTCTAGCGGCAAAACTGTTGGGAATACTGGTTTGAAGGTGATTATTTAACGACATTTATTGATATTTATGTCACCCGTGGGTCATACAGCCCCTAACTGTAGCAACTCACAGGATACACGGCTTTAACAATAACTGCAGCTGTTATTTCTTCCCATACCTCAGCTTTAGCAGGTCCTTTAATTCCACAACTGATGCTGTTAAAAATGACAGATTTTCTTTTCTGGATCTCTGAGAGCAGGGCTTCAATTTCCAAACTCGTGAAGTTCTTTTTACTTTTAGCTGCCATTTTCATGACTAAACACTTCCTGGTATGTATGGCAGGAAGCGTAGCCTTATATGGTATCATTGGGGTGGAAATTATGCTAATCTCATCTCCTCGTTCACAAGCACCTGCATACATACAGGTGGCATTCATCCTGTTTCCTCTGCTCATTTACACACTTTTCCTGACGTTAGAAGCGTTTGCTGAATCTGACATGGCATGTTCGTACGAGCCCTCGATAGAAAAAAAGTAAGAAAAATTAGGATAAGAATACGATTTTTTTTGCAAGAGGCCCAATGACTCTATAATCCAACAATGGAAGGTTGTTTTTTAAAACAACAGTTTGTTTTGCAGCCCGTCTAAATGAGCACAGTTTCTGTACAGAGTAGCCCTGCCACACCCGCTCAGTGCCCCTCTCACTGGACAACTCCAGAACAGAAAAAAGTCCAGCCTCTCTGCAGGAGCTGGTTTCCAGAGCTGAAGCTGAGCATAGATGTGAGCCCAACTACATCTCGCTGATATGGTTCAGCCTCATACACAAGCTGCAGATCCAGCCCGCCTTGCATTGCATTGCAGTTGATTTTGATTGTCCACCTCGCAGGTAGATTGTCCCCATGAAGGTGGCATCCTGTCTCTGTTTCAGGCTTGGTCCAAATCTGACCAGCTCCTCTCATCCAACCAGCAACCATCCTCTACACTACACACTACCAACCAACCACTTCTCTTTCAGTTACTGTTCTGCTGACTGGCACTTTTTTTTAGCTTGTTTTACCTTTAAAAATTCAGTTAATTTATTTCCTTCAACAAATTCCAGTAAAGTCAATCAGCTCTCATCATTCAAACTGCATTTTTGCAGAAATTGCATTTTTTCTAGTTTTTGTAGTATAACAATCTATTTTCAGGTTACACAACACTAATAAAAACTTGAAGTTGCAGATGTTGGGTTTTAGATTTGAGGGTATTCACATTTAAATCGAGGCACGCTTTACAAAACGCAGCTCTTTGAAATGTGGAAGCACCTTTTCATGCTATCTGTAATGACTGTTGATATCACTGCCACATGTACGTATATGGATGTATTCTTTATATTGATACACAAACATAAATGTCAACAGAAATATGAAGCACCTGCTCTTATCATTCTGCACACCTTTCTCTGTAGACGCTCTAAAGGATAACCAGCTGCATTCACTAACAATTTAGTTTTATTTTCTAGACTTGCTTGTACTGCCAGGCCATCCCTGCAGAAATTACAACACAAACAATTTTAAGATTCTGACATGCAGTCTCTCTCCAACCTATCTAGAAATATTCAGGCTACAGCTCGTGTGAAAAAATGACTTTCGTTTCAGATTTAGGAGTTCTAAGGGTCTGGGTCTGACGGTTCTGTGGATAAGCAGAGAAAAAACATTTAATTACTCTGATTCTTTACTATTCAGCATTTTAGTCCTCCAAATATATCAAGACTTATTACTTTTCTTACAGTTTTGTAAAACACACAACATACAGGACTCTAGGTGGCACAGAAGAGATACAGAGAAATCAAACTCAACAAAAGGCAGTAGTGAAATACAGCGGGTAAAATAAGTATTGAACACGTCAACATTTTTCTCAGTAAATATATTGCTAGAGGTGCTAATGACATGAAATTTTCACCAGATGTTGGTAACAACCCAAGTGATCCATACATACAAAGAAATCAAACCATAAATGTCCAGAAATKAAGTTATTTGTAATAATGTGGAATGGCACAGGGAAAAAGTATTGAACACATTTACTGAAATTTATCTAATACTTTGTACAAAAGCCTTTGTTGTCAATGACAGCTTCAAGATGCCTCCTGTATGGAGAAACTAGTGGCATGCATTGCTCAGGTGCTATTTCTGCCCATTCTTCCACAAACAGTCTTCAAATCTTGAAGGTTTCGTGGACCTCTTCTATGAACTCTGATCTTTAGTTCTTCCCATAGATTTTCTGTTGGATTCAGGTCAGGTGATTGGCTGGGCCATTCCAGCAGCTTTAGTTTCTTTCTCTGAAACCAACTGAGAGTTTCCTTGGCTTTGTGTTTGGGCTCATTGTCTTGCTGAAATGTCCAGCCACATTTCATCTTCATCATCCTGGTAGATGGAAGCAGATTTTTATCAAGAATGTCTCTGTACATTTTTCCACTCATCCTTCCTTCAATTATTTGAAGTTTGCCAGTACCATATGCTGAAAAACAGCCCCACACCATGATGTTCCCACCTCCAAACTTCACTGTTGGTATGGTGTTTTTGGGCTGATGTGCAGTGCCATTTGACCTCCAAACAGGATGTGTATTCTGGCATCCAAACAGTTCAATGTTGGTCTCATCTGACCAGACTATATTCTCCCAGTATTACACAGGCTTGTTTAAATGTTGTGCAGCAAACTTTAAAGGAGCTTCAACATGCTGTTTCTTCAGCAGTGGAGTCTTGCGTGGTGAGCATGCATACAGGCCATGGTGGTTCAGTGCATTACTTATTATTTTCTTTGAAACAAACGTACCTGCTAATTCCAGGTCTTTCTGAAGCTCTCCACAAGTGGTCCTTGGCTCTTGGACAACTCTTCTGATCATTCTTTTCACTCCTCTGTCAGAAATCTTGCGAGGAGCACCTGGTCGTGGTCGGTTTATGGTGAAATGATGTTCTTTCCACTTCTGAATTATGGCCCCAACAGTGCTCACTGGAACCTTCAGAAGTTTAGACATTCTTCTGTAACCGATGCCATCATTATGCTTTGCAACAATAAGGTTGTGAAGGTCTTGAGAGAGCTCTTTACTTTTACCCATCATCAGATGGTTCTTGTGTGATACCTGGCCATCATTTGGGACTGAACCAGCTGATAACTTGCACTGACAAGGGGCAGGCTTGTTTTCTAATTACTGAGAGAGTTCAGCTGGTGTCTTGGCTTTCCATGCCTTTTTACACCTCCCTTTCTTCATGTGTTCAATACTTTTTCCCTGTGCCATTCCACATTATTACAAATAACTTCATTTCTGGACATTTATGGTTTGATTTCTTTGTATGTATGGATCACTTGGGTTGTTACCGACATCTGGTGAAAATTTCATGTCATTAGCACCTCTAGTAATATATTTACTGAGAAAAATGGTGACGTGTTCAATACTTATTTTACTCGCTGTATAAAGGCTGGGGTTGATGAGGGAAATGTCTGCAGCTGTGACGAATGCGGGCCAAGATGGAAGAGCAGGAACTAACTGAGGATGAATCATAACCAACCATGACATTGCTGAAAGAAGTGAGACTCACGTTTCTTACTGCACATGCCTGACCAGGAAATCTTTGATCCACCTGATGGGTGTTTACCCATAATGCACAGCAAGGAGTTTAACCGAAGCTAAACGCAGCACTCCCAGCTGTCAGCACAATGGTGGAGGCGGATGCTTTGGGCTCCTTCAGTCACTTAGTGGACCATGAACTCCACTGTAGACCAAATGGTTCTACATCTGAGTCCATCTGTCTGACAGCTAAAGACTGGATCAAACTGGGTCCAACAGAACCATGATCCAAACACAACAACTGATCCTAAACTGGGTTCTGGTTCTGATAAAAGCTTCCTGACCCAAGGCAGCTTAGAATGGGGGACTGTGACTAAGGTCTAACAGTCTTCTGATTTTCTTACTTGATATCTGTACTGTATCAGAACTGTCCTGAACTGATATGGATTTAAGATTTAGACTTTTTTTTCCTCCATTTATTTAGTGTTCTAACATCACTGTTACTGTGAATCGGTACAACTATATATAAAACCCTGAACTAAATCTAATGTCATGAGTGTATTTGCCTGCATTTCACACTATTCTTGTGTGTCCTGCTGTAACATAAGTTTATTTTTTCTGATGTCCTATGAAATTTAAATAAAATACTCGGAACCAAATGAATTAATCTGTAGAAATCCTCTTGTACTGCTGTTACTGATAGAAATGGTAACAATGGGCCTCATGCAAGAACATGTTCGTATTCTTATCCTAAATTTCTCTTACTTTTGTTCGTACAAAGGGTTCGTACGAGCATGTTACGTCAGATTCAACAAACTCTTCTATGTTCATGAAAAGTGCGTAAATGAGCTGCGTAAATTCCACCTGTTCGTATCCAGCTGCACGTGCACACGAGAGGAGATTAGCATAATTACCACCCCAAAAACACCATATAAGGCTATGTTTCCTGCCTCAGATACAAGTGTTCATTCATGAAAAATGACAGCGAAAACTAAAAAAATAAAAACTTTACGAGTTCAGAGATTGAAGTCCGTCTGTCAGAGATCCAGAAAAGAAAATCTGTCATTTTTAGCAGGT